CGAGCTGAAGCTCCCGTGCTAGGTCCCTGTCGATGGTACTGCTGGGGCGCAAGAGTCAATCAACGCCCGCACCAGATGAAGTCGGCCGCCTGACTCGATCCGTACAATTGCGGTTGAGGCGATGGCTACGAATGAGCGCATTATTGGTGCTGGAACCGCGATTGTTTTTAACTTGCCTGTCCGGAATCCACCCGATGGAATGCGTTGGATGGTGAGGGAGGAACGGTCGCCACGTCGGTGTTGTGCGGCCCTTATTGCTTGCCAGCGCGACGAGCGAAAAGGACAAGTTTCCGCGTCATCACGCTGGCTGTAATTACACTTGCGCCAAAATGAGCGAAAAGGACGAGTTTCCGCGTCATCTCGGTGGCCAGAATTGGTTCCGCGCCGATATGAGCGAAAAGGACTAGTTTCCGCGTCATCTCGTTGACCGCCCGTTGGCTGTGTGTGTGACAGCACTGCTGGCATGGGAATGTCTGCTTCAAGTTCGTGCTGTAGCGGCGGTCGAAAATTGCGGATTTTCAAGCCGCCGTCTGGTGGTGAAGGGATTATCTCTTCCCGTCTTTCCACCTCTTCTTCCTCTACCTGCTTCGCCCATGACGTCGTTTGGTCGGAAACGTGGAGCGAAATCGCTCCGTCAGAGCCGTCGTCGTTATCGGGGTGATTTTCTGTCGTTTCCCTTGGATCGCCGTAGTCTTCAATATGCAGGGAGGTATGGTGCTTTTCGTCGCAGCGGTGGCATCGGTCATTGCTTCCACATATTTCTATCCGATAGAATGGCGACAAACAGTTGGGACAGTACCGATGTATCAAAATCGCCCGCAACCTTTCCTCGACGGATTTCCCTCGGTATATGGGGCAGAGTCGTACTCCGTGGTTGTTACCGCACAACCGACAGGGAATCTTAAAATGATCGACCCGTTTCTCGGTCTTAGTGCGGGTCGCCGTGAAGCGAGGCATTCTGTAAAGTTAAACCCCCTTTTTATGGCCGTATGCACAATTATGGTTCATTGTGTATTTTAGACCTTAGCTGGGTGGCAAGTTATACATATATACATACGCATATTTAATTGCTAATATGATTTACATTTCTTTTACTATTTTTATTTTATTTTATTATTATTATTTTTTTTTTTGTTTTTTGAGGACTAATTCCATGCCCTGCAGTGTATAATGGCTGAATAGTAATTCGCTTATCTCGTACAATAGGTGAGAGAATGGCCATGGTGTGTTTACCTTGGCCTCCCACCCGAAAGAATAAACAATTTCATTATTTGTTCGCATGGTGCGGAACTTCGCTGAATCGGTTAAACCGCAAGTGCTTATGAATGTGCTTGGTAATATCACAAATTAATGATTTATTTTGATATTACTAAAATATAGGGCACGTCAAAATTGATTCACTCATGATTTTATAAAAAGAAAATTCATATGTGGTAAGCCTTGCTTTGTTTCGAGCAAATCCAAGTAGCAGGGAATGAGTTGCGTAGTAGATTTTTAGTTTTGCGATCGTAGGAGAGTCCCAACCCTGGCTGCGTTGTCAACCAAGAGCGTAAATTGACATTTACGTTCTTATGTTAGAGATGTGATAGTCAACACATATGAGTATTCATATTCCGTACCGATTTAAAGGTATCCGGTACTTTCGAAACTCGGTGTCGGACAAAAACAATAATAATAATAATAGTTTTATAATATACGCACGACAGCCAAACATATGGAAGTATTTTTGAGAGGTAAAGCCCATTAGCGAACTTTTATATATATATATATATATATATATTTTTTTTTATTGTAAATACTGATTTTTTTTTATTGTAAATACTGATTTTTTTTATTGTAAATACTGATTTTTATTTTTTTTATTGTAAATACTGATTCCACACCGCGCCTTTACGGAGGGAAGAACGAAAATTAGATAAAGTTATTAGTTAAGTTATCGAAGTTTCAGTAAAGTTATGTGAAAAATTATTATTCCTTTGAAAAAATGGACTGGTAAAATTATGCAACAAGTGATTTAAGTGTGCTTATATTACCAAGGTATAATGCATTGAATCGGTATCGGTTAGCAACACCGAAACTTTGGGTACCGAGTATTGCGGCAACTTTGCACATCACTATTTTTAAAATGACACTTTCATCGATGTCAATTGCAGCACATATAAGAATTTCCTGAAAGGCACGAGTGTTTACGAGGCGGTAAGTTGCGTATTTTTGCTTGTAGTATTTTAATTTGATAGTTTTTGTCTTTCCTTTCAGCTCTCGTTGGAAATATTCCACCCAGAACATTCATTCACTCAAGTACGGCATATTTGACACTCATAACCGAGTTCGCCAGAAAGATGAATGGGCAATTCTTGTATGCAGAATGGAAAGTGCGGAATTTTCATATGCAGGCGATACTCGCAACACCAATGCCTCTCGGAAAAAGCCAACCAAGTATCGCGAAATATGCATTAATCTAATATGAAGCTTTTATTCAACCCATATTATCTAGCTAATATCTTTTCTTCTTTACAGCGCTTTTCGTATTCCGTCTTTGCCATCTTTGACCCTACTTGGTTATAATTCATCTAAAACGTGCGTGGGTAATGAATACACCTAAAATAATAAAAACTTCAAGAAATCTTTCGGAATTATGCTATTGTTGTGCACGACTTGTGGTAATATATTAATGGTTGAACAGGATACAGCAGGGCACCGATTTTCAGGCAATACCTGCCCATATATATGTAGTATTAAACGAAAAATTTCAACTCGAACATTTCCACGATTGAAGGAAGTTGATCATATCATGGGTGGTGCAGCCGCATTGGAAAATGTAGATTCCACCCAAGCTGAATGTCCTGCGTGCTCTCACAAAAAATCTTATTTAATGCAAATGCAGACCCGGTCTGCGGATGAGCCGATGACCACATCTTATAAGTGTTGCAATAAAATTTGTGGCCATAACTGGAGGGATTACTCCTGTTATGCGCCTTTTCAAAATTAAGTCATATGCGCTTTGTTGCAAAGTTCAAAAAACGCTTTTGGATGCCTATTGGCATCCATGGTACCTACTCCTTCTTTCGACATACTACACTAAAATGCTTCCAGCTTCACGGGGAAAGGTCTTCGACGTGCTAGACTCCAGGGCTTTAAATGTTGCTCGCCGCTATTTATTAAACGGAGATTATCGCATTGCCTACGGGTACTGTGTATGGTCTAGCTCGTATTGCGAATAACGAGGAGGCCATAAAACGACTATATGAAATAAGGACGTAATTGTTTTAAACCAGTTGCGATTTGTGTAAAAAATTTAGAAGCCTTTCGTCTCTATGGAAAGTCGGACCATTTAAATGATTCCGTCTTGCCTCGGACTACTGGAACTCTCACAATATCTTGCGGAACAATTCAAAAGCAGAAGTGCTCAGAGTTTAAACATTCAACAACGCGCGGGATATCGAACAAACAACATATTTCGCGTACTGCGACAAAAGGCTCGTTGTCGTTACCATATAATAGCTGGTAGCGATTTTAAAGCATTGTGGTGTACGTGGCAGTCTACAATTTGTTTACACAGCAGCTAGAATACCTACGTGTAAGTGCACGTACTTAATTCGCTTAGGAATCTACTCGCAATGTGTAGTATACTCGTGTATCTCAACCACTCAACTCGCCGTTCGAGACAGGAAGTACTAGAACTACTATTAAATGGTCTTAAAGATTGGAGTACTGTGGCTAGTTCAGCGTCGACCACCAGTGCCGGAGTCAACGCTGTAAGAATATTGAATGGCACCAGCAAATCTGATCCCGGGAAACGAGAGTAGTGCATAAGTGTTGACGAAACTTTGGTGAGTGTTAACTATCTTTTGCCTGGATCTAAGTTTGTGCATGCATATATATGTCTATATATTTTGATGATTAGGCATGGTCGAATGTATATTTCTATTGGTACCAGGAACTGGGCCATAAATTAGTTCTAATGTCTTCGAAGCTTCGAGATTCGAATTTGAGTCGAATTTTAGCTCCAAACTGGCGAATTTTCGAAATCGAACTTTGTGGTGTTGAAATTCGGATAAAAATCGAATTCTTATATAAACAAAAAACTAATTTCGTCTTTCTGACGCATTTGCCAAAAATGTGGCTCGAATAGAACTGCTCGTCTTGTTTACTTAAGTATGTAACGTGAAGTTCGTACAAATCTCTCTTGTTCTTGTGGAGCACGAAAAATAAAGTGCATTATACTTCTCAAAAGATTAGTTTCAATATACATATAAATTTTTGGATTTTTCGCTGATATATTTTGAGAAAGAAATACTTGTTATTTACTTTTGGTTGTGAAGATAGGCTGCGGATAATTAATCACTTCAGTGTAAGTTCAATTGCTGGTCCCTTTTTCGATTTGAACTATCCTTACAAACAAACTTTTAAATTTTTCTGTAAAAGGTTGTTGAAAATTTGAAAAAATACAAATTAAATCGAATTTGTATCACCAATTGTCGAATCGAATAATCGAATGGTTGGGTAATGTTCGACATTCGGAAGAAATCGAATTTCACTCCCCCCCCTCCCCATCCCTAATGCTAAATTGCATAACTTTCGGTGTGACGGAATCACGTGATTATTTTGTATTGCTTAGGTACGCATGCTTCAGACATGCGCTTTCGAAGCTACTCGTATCGAAGATTCGGCAACTGGAATATTTGCCATTTGAGATGTGGGATTGCGTAGGGCATTGAGAAGTGGAATTCGCGATGGTTGTTACGACGACGTAGATGATGAGACAGAGTTGCTGGGTTGTTCCTCATCCTGTTCTCTATATGGCGGCAATAAGACAAATTTTACTAATGGCCTTGTGACTTGCCCTCTTTCGGTAATGACATCCACGACTCGTACGAGGTTTTCTGAACCTGGGTGTAGGTTAACGATTCTACCTAATCTCCACTCGTTAGGTGGTAGGTTGTCCTCCTTAATATAGACGAGGTCTCCATTTTTCAAGTTGGCTTGTGGGTATTTCCACTTATTGCGCTTTTGGAGTTCCGACAGGTATTCTGTTTTCCACCTCTTGCAGAACGTATGGTGTAGAGCCTTCAGTCTTTGCCAACGATTCACAATCGACGCACGGTGTTCATCAGCGTCGATTTC